TTAAACTATAAGGTGATACTTTATCACTGCATGAATATTCTGTTCCCCAATTACATTTTACCTAAAGGTTTTAGGATCTATTGATGGTCCTTACCTGAATTAACTATTACATTAGAGGTTCCAAAATGATGAGTTTTTAAAAATTAATTGTGTTCTTGTACTTCTGTTTTGTAGTCCTCCTTCATAGAAGCAATTACTGAGTTCACTTTTTAAAATTCAATGGCATAGGGACTTTCCTGGTGGTCCAGTGGGTAAGACTCCGCGCTCCCAATGCAGGGGGCCTGGATTTGATCCCTGGTCGGGGAACTAGATCCCACATGCATGCCACAACTAAGAAGTCCGCATGCTGCTGCTAAGAGATTCCGCATGCCGCAAAGAAGATCTCTCGTACCCAAACTAAGACCCGGTGCAGCCAAAATAAATAAATTAATTAAAATAAATCAAAAAAATTCAATGGCATAATGTTTGGACAGTTTTCATCTGCTCTGTGGCAACATTTCCTGGTGAGTATTCTTTAGCTGTTGGAAACTCTTGGTAGTCTTTTCCTCTTTGACTTTAGTTTGATGCTGTATATTACTCATTGAATGGGCCAGATATTTGCCTGAGGTTCCTGCAGAAGGGCCCAGGGTAGCCTTCCAGGCTAGCTGGTTTTCCCCACCTCCATCAGCCACAGACACAGGCCTGCTTCTTATGACTACTGCCCATCCATGTGATTCTTTGTGCAGCCCCACATGTAGGATTAAAGATGGCCACAATTCTTTGCTGATCCATTCAGGGGTGGAATCTATTCCTCCCATCCTTCGAATCTGTCTTAGTAATCTGCTTGACAAATAGAATGTGGTGAAAGTGACATTGTGTAGCTTCCAAACTAGCTCATAATATGCCTTTCAGCTTTGGCCCAGGCCACTCGGAGGTATTGCTCTGGGGGAAGTCGGCTACCACAGAAGAAGTCTGAGTATCCTGAGACCACTATGCTCTGAGGAAACCCAAGCTGGCTGCGTAGTGAGACCGCGTGGAGGGAGAGGCCTGACAAACCGAGGCACCAGACACGTGAGTGAAGGAGACTTCAGATGACTCATCTTTAGGCACCATCTGACAGCAACCGTATGAGGAGCCCCCAGCAAAAGCCACCAGCCGAGCCTGTCACATCCCAGAACTGCGAAAGATAATAATAACTTGTTGTTCTAACTAAGTCACTAAGTTTGTGGGCTTCTCTGGCAGTCCAGTGGTTAAGACTATGTGCTTCCAATGCAGGGGGCACGGGTTCGATCCCTGGTTGGGGAACTAAGATCCCACATGCCATGTGGCTGAAAAAAAGAAAAAAAAAAAAAATGTCATATGTATAACTGATTCACTTTGTTATAAAGCAGAAACTAACACACCATTGTAAAGCAATTATACCCCAATAAAGATGTTAAAAAAAAAAAAAAGTCACTAAGTTCACTACACAGCAATGGATAACCGAAACACCCACCTCCACTGGTGGTGTGAACCTAGACATTTGGTTTCTGCTTTCAGCTTTGCTCACCCAGTTCCCATAACTGCTTGAGGCTGCATCCTCCACCTTTAGGAGGCGTAGATACTTCTGGAGCTGTCTCACCTCTGTGCCCTCTGAGCCCTCCTGCATGTCACATTTCATCCCTCTTCCTTCACTTTCTTTTCTGGGATTTCTGCCTCATATCAGGCAATTTGGCAGCCTTTTTACATATTTTACAGTCTGCAAATTATATTTGTCCCTGAGTTTCACCAAAAAATATTGTCTGTGGGTTTTCCCCTCCACTTTTCTTATTGTTTTTGAATGATTTCCAAGAAAAGAGAGGAGAATGCTGATTTCTACAGCCACTTTCATAGCACGTCACCACCATATTTTTTAAATGGCTACATTCTTTTAAATGCACCATAACCAATCACCTATTAATAGACATTAAGGTTGCTCCCAACATTTCACTGCTACAAGCAGGGCTGCAGTGAAAATCCTTCTACATCTAACCTTCTCACACTCAAACACATATTTCTGTAGGATAATTTTCTACAAGTAGAATTTTGGGGTCAAGGGCAATGGCTGATTGAAGGATTTTTATGCCACTTCAGAATGTGGCAAAACAGCTCATTTTGCTAGAGCTGAAGCTACAGTGCCCCTTAAGTAAATTCCCTCAGCCCTTATTGTTGGGCTGTTGTGTTGCTTGGCGTATCCAGTCTGTGAAAAAGCCAGTCCAGTCCAATTTGGATAGAAATATGTCATTACCAGGACTTTTCCAGTTGAAGCTTCCTGGTCTCAAAAAGTGGGGTAAGTAGAGAGGTAGGATGAGGCAGAACAAGGAACCCAACAAAGCAGCACAGCACCACAGTTAGGGGCATAGAACCAGGCTGGGTGTCAATACCCAGACTCTCAGACCTGTGTGTGAATACCAATTCCACCAATCAACAGCTGTGCAAATTGGGCAGATCGCTTAACCTCTCTGAGCCTTACTTTCCTAATCTGTAAAATAAGGATAGTAATAGTACCTATCTCATGAGGCTATTGTGAAGACTAAATAAGAAATGTAATTGTCACATAACACGTGCTCAATAACGGTCAGCTATTGTTAATATAACACAAAAGATCTTCCTGCCTTCCAAATTTTATGGCATTAGAGTAGGGGCAGAGGAGACATGGAGAAACGGATGAAGTTTAGCAGCTTCCAGGAAGAGATTTTCCTATTATCTGTAAAAGCATATTGCTGAGAACAAACAGAATGGATAAGGGAAGAGAGGGGAGGGAAGCGAGGCCAGGGCAAGAAGATTTCCTGAAGGAAACATCCACAGTAGGAGGTAGAGCTTTGGGTTTCTGAGAAGGGGCAAGGGGGGAGAGTTGGTGGAGATTAAATGGCTTAGTATCCAGGTTAGAGGTGTGTTAATGGGCACTCTCCTCTTTCTATGGGCATGATACGATCAATAGTCACGTCACAAACCCCTGATCTTTTAACAGATACTGATTGATTACTCCTCACCCCCTTGGGCATAAGACAGATGTATAAAAACTGGTTGCACAGGATGTCTGAATGGGTGGTGTCCCTAGCGTTGTTCAGTGCACAGCTGGCACAACTGTACGTGGCAGTCCTGCCTGGACTCCACCCTCAAATATTTTTTGCTTTGCATTGTGAACCACCATATGGACCACAAGGTTCCCGAGGGCAGGAACATGGATTACATAATTTTTTATACTCCCACAAGTGCTTGGCACTCAGCTGATGATCAGTAACTCTCCCTGGGACTTCCCTGGTGGCACAGTGGTTAAGAATCTGCCTGCCAATGCAGGGGACACGGGTTCAATCCCTGGTCCAGGAAGATCCCACCTGCCGCCTAGCCACTAAGCCCGTGTGCCACAACTACTGAGTCTGCGCTCTAGAGCCCGCGAGCCACAACTACTGAGCCCGTGTGCCACAACTACTGAAGCCCGTGCGCCTAGAGCCCGTGCTCCGCAACAAGAGAAGCCACTGCAATGAGAAGCCCGCGCACCGCAACGAAGAGTAGCCCCCTCTCACCGCAACTAGAGAAAGCCTGCGCGCAGCAACGGAGACCCAACGCAGCCAAAAATAAATAAATAAATTTTTAAAAACATAATTATTCTCTCTTAGCAACTCTGTTAGGGGGCCTCTTCTGACCAGCATTTTTGGGCCTGACCCTGACCCTCCAGGCATACTCAGTCCAAGCTCCACACACCCTCATCGGCATCTAGTAAACCCCACTCGGCCCGCCCTCCCCTTGAGACCAGATCAATTCAAGCACCAGGAAATCATTAATATTAGAACACTCAGAGGGAAAGGAGCTTCAAGTTCTTGTCATTGAGGCCACAGGATGTAGCCCTGTGACCTGCAGGACCCCAGAGAGCAGCCTTCTTGAGCCACGCTGCCCAATGCGTGGATCCTATCCCAGCCCTTATCTATGCAGGATTCTAAAGGCCCTGGGGCCATTGTTGGAGAGCTTTTATTTTTGGGTGCTTCCTCATACCAAGCCACTCCCCACCCCCACAGAGTGGTTCGCACCCTGGTCCCCATCCTGTCCTCTGTAGTCCCACACTAAAAGCCTAATCTCATGTTCTAGCAAATACGAAACTATGAGACCCCACTCAGGCCGTTCCCTGTCCTTCCTCTGAAGGTGCTTATCCCTAGGCTGGGGTGGGAGGAGGGAGGCCCGGGACGCCACACACACACCAGGCGTGCCTGCCTCTGTCCACTGTCACCCGCTCAGCCAGAGCCTGGCTCCCGGACAGGCGCAGAGCCAAGGTAGAGCAGTCAGGACATCGGAAAGAAAAGGCTGTGCATTCCTGCTTCCTTCTCGGCAAGTTTCCCAAGCAATGGGACTCCTTGGGCTGCTGGCCAAAGAGCCTGGGCAGAAATAAATCTCCCCAGCCAGGGCTCCTTCAGAGCTGCCCTTTGGGGAACGTGCCCCCAGTCTTCCCGAGAGCCCCTCAGCCAGCGCAGCAGGCTCTTCCCTGGAGTTAGGTGTGTGTGGGAGCATGTTCCTCCCCCGGGATCCGTGCCGTCAGGTTTGGGGATAGGACCAAGTTTTCCCAGCACAAGTGAGAAGGACACAGGCACCTCTCCTTTTCCAGGACAAGGGTCATGGACACAACTTCTCCTGGAAGCCAGCAACTCACCTGCCCCTACCCTGTCCCACACCCCCCTTTCCAGGAAGGAAAGGTAAAACTCAACTCTTGTCACTCCCTGGGGTTTGGGGGAAGATGCGCGTGACCGCCTGGGCATGGGGAGACACCTTCCCCTGAATAAGAAACTGAGGCCTCAGGGGCTGAGCAGAGAACGAGAGGGGCTGGACCTGGATTGGTTCCAAGAAACAGAATGCCTGTGGGCGTGCTCAGCAGGGGGCGGGGGATGGGGGGGGGATATAAGCCCTCTTGTCCCAGAAGCAGCCAAGAGGTGAGGGAGGGGTGTGAGTGACACCCAGGAAGACAGCAGAGGCTGAAGAGCTCAGGAGAGGCCGGAACAGCCCTGCAGATAAGGCTCTGGGCTTTCTCTCCTTTGGGGCCAAAGCCAGAGAAAGCACAGCCAGTTGCATAATCCTTCTATTTGCTCAGATCTACGTTTTGTCCTGAAGCTCCCTGCCCTGGGAGGTGATTGAGGAAGGCACTCAGCAAGGACTGGGCAGGGCAGGGAGTCAGCAGGCGAGCACGGGGCGTGCTGGGTTTTCAGCCTTTTCTCCACCGCTGCTGTCCAGGAGGATGGAGGCCCTCAATGAGTCTGCCCAGTTCAACTTCTCCCTGCCGCACAACTTCGGCAAGCGGCCCACCGACTGGGCGCTGAGCGTCATCCTGGTGATCATACTGTTAACCATCATGCTCTCGCTGGGCTGCACCATGGAGTTCAGCAAGATCAAGGTGCACTTCTGGAAGCCTAAGGGGCTGGCCATCGCCCTGGTGGCACAGTATGGCATCATGCCCCTCACTGCCTTTGCACTGGGCAAGGTCTTCCAGCTGAACAACGTCGAGGCACTGGCCATCCTGATCTGCGGCTGCTCGCCGGGGGGGACCCTCTCCAACGTCTTCACTCTGGCCATGAAAGGGGACATGAACCTCAGGTAGGACGGGGGGGTGAAGAAGGAGCAATCTGGGGACAGCGGCTGCATGGGAGATCACAATCAAGGCGAAGAGGGGGGCTAAAGCCAGAAGCATGAGTGAGTGGGGGCTGGGTGGGTGCTAGGGCAGGGGGTGGCAGGCATTGATTGTCAAGAGCTCATGCTGGGCTGGGGACAGGATCTGGGGTACATCTGGGTTTAAGCACCAAGCCAAAGGGGCCCAGCTGGTCCAGGGGCACCCTGGAGAGCCCCCTTACTCCCAGAGTTGTCTCGAATGGGGCACAAGGATTGTCTTGAAGGAGTACTGCACTGACTTAAAGCAAAGGGACCTCTGGAGAACTTTTACCTGTCTGCCAGGCGGGGCAAGTTGTCTGCTTTGAGGCCAGAGATATGAAAGGGAGTGCAGGTTAGTTTCAAAGATCTCCAGGGAGATCAAGGTGGCTCGGAACCAAAGAGCACCTCCAATTCCTGCAGAGCAAGAAGGAACTTCCAAAGATTCCCCCCAGCTGTCTGGGCTGTCTTCTCTGAACTTCCCCCATCCGCCCATCAGACGCAGGAACACTTCGATGCAAAGACACAGCCAGGTAGATCCTAGAGTTTCCCAGGACCAGGTCGGGGTCCCAAGTCATGATGGGCCTCGCCTCGGCCAAAGTGGTAGGAGGGAAACAGCAGCAACCCCACCCAGCTCATCACAGCAGAAATCAGCGAGGGCTCCCTCCTGCAGGGGCTAGTTGAACACCCGTCCTTCCAAACAGGTGGGACTCTGGTCTGGAATGCCTCCCAGGGTGAGGCCGCGTCAGGCCTGCTCCAGCTGCAACAGCAGCCCCTGCTGGCTAAAGAAAACTCACCAGCATAAAAGCTCTTGCTTTTATCTAAGCCTCCGTCTCAAGCCGGTCTCTTCTGGTTCGATCCACTCTTCCATGCCGGGCAGGGCAGTAAATTCAGACAGTCCATCTGCTTGTGCCTGTCAGTATCCTGTCCCTGGCTGAAATTTACTAAGGAAACTAGCCAGGTACGGAAGCCTCCTCCTGGAGATGCCAAGCGATGCTGGGGTTGATTATTAGATGATAAAATGATAGTGATCATTGGGGGTTCCCTGGACCTGCCATCTGAGAAGCTCTGGACTCTCTACCCATATGATTTGACCCTTACTGAGGTGGTCGATGGAGAGAGAGCTTGGCTTGTACAGTCTCCCATGGGAACATATCCATGTTCGACCACCTCACTGTGAGGAAATTCTTCCCTCTATCTAATCCAAGTCCTTCCTGCTGCAAAACAAGCTCCTGGTCTTGATCTAGCCTGTGGACAAGGCCCGTTGCAGCCTCTGTGTCTTGGACAGAGAAACCTGGACTACACCTTAATTCTGTTGTAGAAGGGTTGCAGGTCAGGAAAGGGGTACTCAGGGCTTCGTGGCTCTGTAGAAGCGGCAGCGCTGGGTGGGACAGCGTAAAATATCATGGGGGAGCCTCTAAGTGTGAGTGACCAGATGTCCCAGCCTTTTGAGCCAGTGGGTGCCAATGAGGTCTCTTCTGAAACACCTGCGTTTCTGAGGCTCTAGGCCTCCTCCGGCAGAGCCTCCAGTGACTCATGCTCTCCTGCTAGGCCTCCTGGTCTGGGCACCTGGGAACTGTCACTTCCACCTAGACCCTCAAGAGACAATGCTCTGCTGGGACGGCCACCTTCTAGCATAACGCCCCTACCCGCAGACAAACCTCCCCCGCACGTTAAACCAGGCTTCTGACCCCACTGGAGGAGCGTGAATCTCATCCTCCACCATCACGTGCCGCCAGACCTCGAATTCCAAATTGAGTTCTTCATCTGGGACAACTTGTTACATGTATTATAATAATGAGAATGGTGCTGATAATAAAAGACAGCCAGGCACCGGGCCAAGCACTTTACATGGGATCCTCTTACAGCTTCCCATGAGGAGGTGCTGTAAAGAGCCCCATTCTAGAGATGAGGAAACTGAGACTTAGAGAGGTTAATACATTTGTCCAAGGTCTGAAGGCTCCAAAGCCTGTGCTATCTTCAGGGTCGGGTGTGTACATAAAGGAACTGAGTGGCTGGAGGGTGACCGCCAGCCTCGGAGACACGGGCCGCCCTACACGGGGCAGATGCCATGCATCTCTGCCATGGGTGTTGTGGGAACGGGGATTCAGTGCCTGCACAGCTCCCTGCTTTTCAGGAGAAGATGGAGTCCCCCTTTTTATGTGAAATCTCCAAATTTTTAATTATTGGTAACTCGCTCCAAGTTTTTAAAACACTGTGCAAGCCAAACAGGACATGACAGAGGCCCAGATGTTACACAGAAGCTATGGGTTTGAGATCTGTGTACAACACCACGCGATGTCCCGTCTAGAGCAGAAAGGAATGTTAGGACGCCTATTCCACTTTACACATGAGGAAGCGGAAGTCCAGAAACTTTCCAGAGGCTTCCCGAGAATCTGTGGGCCAGTTGTGTCTGGAGCCATTCCTGGGCTCTCTCTTCCCAGTCATTCTGCCTCACAGCTGGAGTAAGCCTCGGGGAGCGGCCGTCACAGGGCGTCAGGCACATTCAAGGAGGCTGGGCCGCAAGGTGGACCTCTCAAGGCAGCCAGGCCCAGCAGCTCCTTCCTCAAGGATGCTGCTAGACATGCTCCAAAATAGGCAGGTGTCCCACAAGAGAAAGAGAAAGTGCCCTCATCAGGGACAGAGGAGAGAGTGCCAGAAGGAACTGGGCCCCTTTGATGGCCACCTCTGCCTCCAGTTCACCTGCTCCCCCTCTCCCCTCCAGCCAGCTCACAGCTGAGACCAGAGCCAATGGCTGAGGGGATAACCCAAGGATTCCCACAGCTCTCCCCACCATGACAGAGGGAGACTAAGCAGGAAGAGACAGAAGCTACCCTGGTTCCCAGAAGTTTCCCACTTCACCACAGAGTCTCTAATGGGTCCCCTCACAACTCTCTCAGCTTCCACCTCCAGTGCCTCTATTGACAGGAGTTCAAAAACTGTTCCTCAAGCAGGGTGTACCGATGCCCCAAAGCAGGCTGTATGCAGTGCTCCAAGAACTTAAGCAGGAAGGGTAAAGAAAAAACCAAATGTGCTCCTTTCTCCCTGGTCCCTGGACCCCTGAGAAGCATCCAGGTCCACAATGTTACTATGGAACAGATTCCAATCTCAGAGCTAGAGTCAGGAAGTTGCCTCCCATCCCTATCCTTCAGGGTAACAGGATCATGACAGTCACAGATACCAGAAAGTTAGGACCAGTGCCCAGCACTCACACATGCGGAGGAGGTTCGGGGGTCTGGGAGCATGGCTCCCACACACCTCAGTGCATGAGGCTCACCAAGACTCAGAGCAAATTCCAAAGCTCCCGACATGCCAAGCCAAAGTAAGCATGACTCCTCTGTTCAAGGACATCAGAACAAGCACACAAGTTTTGTGTGGCTTTTCTCCTAAGAAGAAATCAATAGCTAGCACTGTAGCCCCCTGTGTGCCCTTCCCAATCTCATTCCCCTCTACTCACCTTGAAGGGAGCACCTCCCAGGATTTGCCTTTCAGCACTTCCACAGACCCTTTTACACTATTACTACATAGGTATATATCCATCAACAAGATACACTGTTGCATTTACATGGTTTTAAATTTTATATCAATGGTATCATACTGCCCATATCATTTGACAGCTTGCTTTTTTGAGATAATAGGTATATAAATAAAAGAGCTACTTCATGCATTTGAACTGCAGTATAGTTTGCTTGCATTTATCCATTCTCCTGTTGTCAGACATTTACATGGATTTCATGTTTTGTTGCATGAGCAAGTCCTATGCATGCTCCCCTTGTGCTCACATGTGAGAGAACACATAATGAACGCAGGAGTGTTGGGTCTTGAGGTTCACACATCTGCAGCTAACAAGTCTCCAAAGTAGTTATTCCACTTCACACTTCCCAGGGCAGTGTATGAAGACTGTTGTTCCATGTCTTCACCTGTATTCGGAATTGTCAGACTTCTAAATTTTGTCATCTGGTGAGAGTGAAATGAGTCACGGTGGTTTTAAATTTAATTTCACGGGAGGTCTAGCAACTTTTCAAATACTGTTGGCCATTTGGGTGTCCTCTTCTGAAAATAATGCCGTTTGCCTATTTTTCTATGGGACTATGGTGTTTTCTTCTCATTAATTTACAGTTATTTGTTGTTTTTACATGTTGCAACAGTCTACTCACAGTTTTGGGGTTATCCTTACATTTTGATAATGATGTCTTATAAAACAGAATGCTTATTTTAACTTAACCAACTATACGAATATTTTTCCTTGGCAGTTTATGTTTTGGGGGTTTCTTTAAGAAATCCTTTACTGCCTTGAAGGTCATAAAGATATTCACCTATGTTCGAAAAGTTTTACAGTTTTGCTTTTCACATGGAGATCTTTGATCAACCTAGAATTTATTATTATGTATGCTGTGATCTAATTTTATCTTTTCCATATGAATAGAGAAAATTCCCAGGACCACTGAGTGAATTTTTCTCCATCAACTTTTAATTCTCTCTCTCTCGTTGACCAAATTCACAAATAAGCATAAGTTTGTGTCTGGGATCTCCCTTCTGTTCTATTGTTCTATGTCTCTATCCTTGAGCCAATATCACACTTTCTTAATTACAGCCTTTTAATAAATCTTGATATCTGAAAGTTGCCCTACCTTGTTGTTCTTGAAAATTACATTAGCTATTCTTGGCCCTTTACTCTTTCACTTGAATTTTGGGATTAAGTCTCACATCTACAAAAACTATTTCTGGAATTTCGGTTAAATTTGCTTTAAATTTATGGATAAATTTAGAGGCTATCTTTATAATACTGAATCTTCCCATCCATGAAAATGAAAATGGTACAGATTTTCTTTTATTAATCATTATTTTATACCTATGGAGTTTTATAACTTCTTTCATAAAGATCTTGCATATCTCTTTTATATTTATTTCTAAATATTTTATCATTTTTATGAATATTATAAACGGTATCT